CCCCCACCCCCCCCCCCCCCCTCGGGGGCGGGTGCCTCCTTGGAATTATAATATTGTTGGAATATTATAATTTATTTTTTTAACATATGATAATTTAATAATTTAAGTGTACAGAATTAAAAATAGATTGTTTAATTATAGGCAAATGCGTAATTGCGTGACGCAATTGCAAGATGATGAGACACAAAAACTTGGCCCCACCACGTGTAAAAATCAGGTTTTTATTGAAGGGCCAGATATTCGCTGTGGTGAACCACCATCAATACGTGATAGAGATTAATTAAGGTGTCAGTATCCACACGATAAGAATCCAATACTTTATCGTCGGCTTCGACTTTCTGTTCTTTCTTTTTATTACAAAATTATAAAAAATGTCACAATAAGTGACTTGTCCATCTAAGATTGGTTGTGCTTTGTCATCCTAACTCGTAATTGGTCAACTGGGTAGAAAAATCTCATGGGATCAACTTGTAATGATTGACCCGTGAATTGAGTGGTCTGAAAGCACTTGAACAACCAAAATTCAGCGGCTATTTTTCTTATTACAATGCTTTAAAAAACACAAAATTTGGCAAAATAATAATGGGTAAAAGTGCATGGTTTGTAAATGTCAAGACATATTTTAACGTGTTGTTATTCAAAAATATGATATTTTATTATTATTATTATTATTTAAATTATGTTATTTTGCTAAAATAAATTTAAAAATAATATGCTAATTTTTTTTTAAATCATTTCTTAAAAGTTATCTAAAAAGATATGAGGACAAGATTAATTAATAATATATTTTTTATGAAAATAAATAAATGGGTGCATAAATAGTGGATCATACATGAAAATATTTTACTGTATCTTTCAAGTTTATATAAAAGTTAGGAAAAATTATATTAGGGTTAAATAATGATTACCTAAAAAATACATTTTAAACTCTAGTTTAACAAAAAAAATCACAAAATAATTAAATTATTTTTTCATATATATATATATATATGAAAAATAATAATATACATGAAAAATAATAATATGACAAATCATTACACCCTTATAAATTAAGTTTGTTGGTTATGAGCTTTATTTTACTTAAATGTATTAAAGAGATGTAGAGGTGGTAAGCCACCATATATTTTTTGTTATACGCTCAGAGATGTGAAAAGAATAAAATTCAAAATATATTGGGTCAAAAAAATATCGAGGAGTTCACGTGGGGTCTTAAAAAATAGGGTTTGAAGGGTTGGGTTCTAGTTGTGTTGTTGATCCTGATTAGCTCTAAAAATAAGCCACAACATATTGCTTAGACCCATAGGTGGTAAACCTTAGGTACCACACCCGAGCCTATAAGCGGTTGGCCCCAATTATTTGCTTGGACTCATGGTTTTTTGGGCTTTTAAGGGTTTTTTAGACTTATTAAAGTTAGATTTGGTTCAAAAAACTTTGTTTTGAAAACTACTAATTAATCTTGATTCATCAGTAGTCTTATAAGTTTTTACAATATTGATATATAAAAACTTATAAAAATAACTGATTACCATGACTAATTTGTTAAATTTTCTTTGTATAAGAACGGTGTGGAAACCCAAAAGTAATTTACTGGAGAACCTATATATAGCGTTGTGCATCATGATTAAAAAAAATGTTTATATCATATGAGAATACTTGGACAAAATTCACACTTAGAAAAAACATTTAGGAAGTTAAAGGGAACCAATTATAGAAACCTGCATTAGAATAATTTTATAGGAGGTTAAGGGGAACATGTAAAGAAACTCATACTTAGAAAATCTTATATAAGAAGTTGAGGGGAGCCCATACTTAGAAAAATATTTTTAAGAGGCTGAGAGGAACCCATAAAAAAACTCATACTTCAAAAGTTTTAAAAGAAGCTGAAGTTGAAGCGAATCTATTCCATGAAGGGTTATCTGTGATGATAGTGTGAGACCTAGAAAACCCCTAAAAAGTTATGCTAATTCGAGATTATATTGGAGAGTGAGAGGTTTGTGGCCTTTAAGGTGATGGTTTAGTGCTTAGAAGCCCCCTATTATAGAGAGATCACATTAGAGAGTAGAAGGTATATGGCCTTCTTAACAATGATATGGGGCTTAAAATCTCACCATTGGATAAAAATCTCATTGAAGAGTGAGAGTTTTGTGGCTTCCCTGATAATGGTGTGGGGATTGTGAGCCACTCACTAAAAATAGAAAGATCTAATATCATACTTGGAGATATCACGAGGCTTGTGAGCCTTACTAGAGAGTCATGCTGGTTTGATGTTAGATTAAAGGGGTAGATTTGAGATCAATCCCTAGAGATTACGTGATGCTTAGAAGTTCTATTAGTGAGTCATGTCAGTTTGAGATTGCATTAGAGAACAAGAAATCAAAGATCAATTCCTGGAGATTGCGTAAGGCTTGAGAGCCCTACTAGAAAGTCATGCTAGTCAAGACTGAATTGAAGAGTAAAAGATCTAGGTTCAATCCCTAAAAATTGTGTAAGGCCCAAGAGCCATACTAAAAAGTCATGTTAGTTCAAGACTGCACTAGAGAGCTATAAATAAAAAATATATATAAGAGATACAATATTTTTATTTCAAAAATAAACTTACATTCTTATTAAGAATAATGCATCTTGAGGTTATCTAAGTGTCAAATATGAAGAAGATTCTTCAAACCATATCTTGGAGGTGATATGTGTTTACTTTAACTACACTAATAACTTTGAATGAGTTATCATAATTTGATTCAAGGGTGTAGTAAGCTTTTAGGATACACCAAACATTCATAAGTTGGTTACTCCTAGTTCTTCCTTGAGCTTTCATTCCTATTAAAAGAATGACTCTACTTAGAAGGTTTTCCATGTTGGTTATCCTTATAAAAACATTAAGGCTCATGTCATAACATATTTGTCTCTTCCACTCATATATAATTTTCTATGACTTACTTCACATCGAGCAAGTTTTTATCTGGTAAGGCATAAAGCTTTCTCCGTATAACATGCTCACTTACCTCTTTTATTAAGACCTTTAAGGCAACCGAATCAAGCAACTCTTTCATTTTAAGCATCTTTAAGTATGTTTGAGTTGATTCACCCTCTGACTGGGCAATCCCAAATAGTTTTGTAGAGCTTTTTTTAACGAGTATATTTGTGCTAAAACATGCCACTAGTTTGAAATAGAGATCACTAAATCCTTCAATAGAGTTTGGCTCTATATTATTATAATAAACATGTGCAGACCACCAGAAGGTTGTAGAGTGGATTTTGCATATTGAATCACTATCTTAGATAACTAACTTTGAGTTATTTTGCATATTTTACACATAATCCCTTGGGTTGGAAAGGCCATCATAATTGTCCAATCTTATTTTTATAGAAATATAATCCTTAGAAAATCAAGTGTTCAATACTTGTTTGGACAAAAAAGAACCTTTCACCTAATAGAGGTTATAGATATGCTCATGGTTATTTGTTTGTTTAGCTTTAAAGAGCTTAGGGAGTTTAATGTGGAATAGTGGGATCGTTAACATGTGTTCATCATATGGTAGCTAATAAGAGCACATCTGGAGTATTAAATCTTTGTATGAGTATTGCAACAATGTGAATGACCTATTGAGGGATTTAATGAACGTCAAGGTAAAACACTCTACGAAATATTATTCTTTCTAAGTTCCTCAAAGTAGTGTAATTATCTACAGATACTAGGAGCGGTTGGTGGCAGCAGCATTTAAGTGTTGTGTGTTGGTGAGGATAATAGGACCTAATTTTCCCCAAAAATTACCATCATAACCTCAGTAAGAAGTTGTACTTGATTAACAAGTTATTAAAAGTTTACATGGGTAATAATGCTTAAGATAACAAGTAGATTCGTCATGCGTCCTAGCCTAGGTTGTTTTGGTTATCTATTATAGAATGATCTTGAAATATCAAAAACAAGTTTTAGAAAGAAACTGATGGTTTTTTAATCAATTTTTCATAAACGATTCTAATTAATGACGTTTCAAAATCTAATGTGTTTAGGAATAAGTTTACGTGGTTTGATAATAGCTTAATCATTTAATTCTTGCAATTTGATTCATTCTCCTTACCTAAGGTGGGTGATAACTTGATATAGAAAACCATGATAGGTTGTAGATTAAAATGGGAAGCCAAGTACTTGCAAAAAGTTTCCTTTTATAGATTTAGAAACTTTTAGATGTTCAAGTAAGTATCTTTATAAAGAA